AGAAGAAGAAGAAGAAGAAGAAGAAGAAGAAGAAAAGAAGAAGAAATAAGTAAGAGAAAAAATAAGAACCAGACCACCTCATATATTCTCATACAGCTGTTAAACTAAGATATATTCCTACAGTAATTTATATCCATCCTCGCAGGCACCAACTTCCTCTGCAGATTCCTACGGCGAGCAGTACGCCTGGAAGTCCCAAAGTTTTGCTTAAATTTTCACCACGGAAAGTTAGTAGAGAGGAAATTACCATGGCGAGAAGGTGGATGTCCGTGTGACGTCATAACTGAGGAAAGGTGAAGTCGCAGGTGTGGATGGTTGATGTCCTAGGAGAGGGAGAGGGAGGTGACGTCATTAAGGGAGAGGAAGTGATTTCAAAGGCGATGGAAAGGAATGTCTCCATTTGTGGATGGTGACGTCACGCTTAAGGGATGTGATGTCATAGTTCATGAAGGTGAAGTCTAGGGCGAGGAAGATGACGTCATAGGAAAGGAAGGTGATTATACAGGAGAGGAAAGTGATGCCACACGAGAAGCAGTTGAATAAGTCAATTCCAAAAAGAAGGAAGGTGACTTGACAGAAGAAGAAAGTGAAGTTAACTCTGCAGGTGATGACAGATAGTCTGCAGATAGTTGACGAAATGGATTCACAGGAGATGGTGATGTCACAGAAGAGAAAAGTCAAGTAAAAAAAAAAAGGTCAAAGGTCATACACAAGGAAACTAACATAAAACTAGAAGCACTCAGAAAGCGCATACCTCCACCAAGGCAATAGGGTCACTGATGCAATGGAAATACTCACACTTAATTATATTAAAATCATGTCTTTCTCAAGCACACTGGTACGTCCGTGTTTCCCTCGCAATGTTCATGAATCCTTTAAAAAATTCCTGGACCCGGATCATCACCAAAATTTAATGAGAGCTAAATTGTCCTAAAACACACCTCTGGTAAAAAAAAGAAAAAAAAAAAGAAGAAGAAGAAGAAAAGAAATGGTAAAAAAAAAAATAGTCATGAAAATTATTCATATCTTTTTGAGTTGCCCTGCTAACCAACGAACAAACAAACAAACTACCCAACGCTACCAAATAACATAACGTCCTCAGCAGAGACAAAAATGAGGAAGAGGCAGAATGGACAACAGCAAAAACAAAAGAACATCAACAACAACAACAATACGACCCGTAATTAAATCATGCCGGGTCTTAATTACGTTGAAATTACTGCAACATGAACTAATGCGTCTCTTGCGCTATGATTAAATATGATTCAGTGTAATTCACTAATTTATGCGGCGCTGAATCGGGGGATTTTACAAGATTAGGCCGTTGGGGATTTCTTCTGGTGGGGATTAGGATAAAATGTTGCTTCTTTTGATAGGAAGGCTGGGGTTGTATGTGACGGGGGAGGGGGGTAGTAGAGGGGAGGGGGGGGGGGGGAAGGGCATACAGAAGGGGAAGGGAAGGTGGGGAGGGGAGGGGGAGGGAGGGAGAGGGGGAGGGCAACACAAGGTGCAGGAAGGTGGGGAGGGGGGGGAGGGGGAGGGGACACAAGGGGAAGGGTAGGTTGGGAGGGAAGGGGAGGAGCAGGGGGAGGGGTGGGGTGAGAGGGAAAAAAGGATGCGAAAAGGAAAAAAAAGAAGAGGAGGATGGAAAGGGTTAGAGAAGTAAAAAATGAAAACAGGGAGAGATAAACACAGGGACTGGCACAAAGAGAAACAAACAGACAAACAGTCATTCAGTCAGTCAGTCAATTAGTCAGTCAG